AAGGTTCCATCAATCAGTTAATTTCAACTTCTCGCGGGGAAAAAAAAGATCTTGCAAAGTTGGAATTGATTGATTGAACTTTTTAGTCCCACCCAATCTGCCGTTACCACCGCAGCCACCCCCACCCAATGGGCCATGCCCACCCAATGGGCCACACCCAGCCAATGGGCCACACCCACCCGGCACTCGACGATGCATAAGTGGATTTTGGGTTGCAGTTTGGGCACTCAGTCTCTAAAAGGTTCGCCATCACTGATCTACCTGATTTCATGAATTGATCTACCCCCCTTACTAATCAAGAAGAGAAGCAACCTCGAACTAAAAAAAAATCCCTGGTAGTTAGAACAATTAATCAGTGGAACTACTTGCCTCCAGAAGTTGTGCATGCTCCAACACTGGAAGTTTTTAAGAAGAGATTTGTCTGAAATGGTATAGGGTTTCCTGCCTGAGCAGGAGATTGGACTAGAAGACCTCCAAGGTCCCTTCCAACTCTACTCTACTCTACTCTACTCTACTCTACTCTACTCTACTCTACTCTATTCCGAATCTCTACTCTACTCTACTCTACTCTACTCTACTCTACTCTACTCTACTCTACTCTACTCTACTCTACTCTACTCTACTCTACTCCACTCCACTCCACTCCACTCCACTCCACTCCACTCCACTCCACTCCACTCCACTCCACTATTCTATTCTATTCTATTCTATTCTATTCTATTCTATTCTATTCTATTCTATTCTATTGAAGCTAACCTTACTGATCGCCAGCACCCCATCTCAAGGCAGCCAATTGAGCATCCCAGCTCAAGGCACCCATCTCAAGGCAGCCAACACAGGCTGGCACGGAATCACGACAGTGGTTGCTAAGTTAATCCAAAGTTGAATTAGACATTGTGGGGGGAAAAAAGACCTTTCTTTTGTCTTTCTCCTTTCTTCTAGTATTCAATTTCATGGGATCACCTCTGGTTCTAACAAGATTTGTACCCGCTTTGCCTATTACTCCAGCATCCACATGAGCAACTCAGCACTTTTCTATTTTTCAGGCTTTTTGAATCGTCTTTAATTATACTTTAATTTATACTGTTTTAGATTTTGAAAATTAGATGGCCTAGTTTTCATCCATCATTTTATTTGATTTTATTGTATATATGCTTATATTCAAATTGTATCATTTGGTAGATTTTATTATAAACCACCCAGGGAATTTTGGTTACTGAATGGGCTAAACATTTTGATAGACAGACAGATAGATTTATCTATAGACTTTAAAAGTAAGAGTGCCATCAAGGATATAGAAAGTAGCCTAATTCCTGTTGCTCTAATTCAGGATTCCGAAGCAAAGATTGCCTTTCTTAGCTTAGTGTTAAACTAAGAAGTGTATTCTGGGTTCAGAATAATTGCAAACAGAGGGCTTAGAAAAACTACAGATGATTCATTTGTGCTGCTCCACCTTTCCTCGCCCTTTCTGATCAAGTTTCAAGTTCAAGTTTATTGCATTTATATCCCGCCCTTCTCCTGGTAGACTCAGGGCGGCTTACAGCCAACTAAAAACAGAACAATTGATACCACATACAAAATTAAAACAAATTAAAAAATATATTTAAATAGGCCTTCTCTTGTTGTTAAAAATTAATTAAAAATCCAATAGTAAAATATCCCTAGGCCAGTCCTGCC